TGAAAATCAAGAGGGAAAATTATATGGCGTATTGTTTTTTTCAAAGGAGGGATAAAGGAAGAACTTGCTGGATTCAAATGAATTTATCAGAAAGATGTACTTATGTTATAGCTATCTGCTGTTTTCAACACTACACATTCTATGTAACTCTTCTTACTATACATTGCAAACTGTCTCTTGGAATTCAAGAAGAAGCAAATTTTTTTCTTTAGCTACTTGAATTATAATTGTATTTCCCCTCTATAAGAATTTAAAGTAGAAGAAATTGCAGACCTATTGTATCTTCATTGACCGTAATATATTCTTGTAATTTATAGGAGGCAGTAGACATTGGGGAGGAAAAACAATAGCATGACATCTGACTGTAGTAACTGTTTGAAGCTGCTTTTTCGAAGGAGAGATGACTATGCCTGTAGAGTATATACTTATGTCTTACATTCTCATCTTTAATATGTCCTGGAAACTGAATCAGTTTTATTCTTCCTGTGGATCCCAATTTGTTTTTTATCTCCCATGGATGGAGGAGCACAAATGACCATGGTTAGAATTTTGAAGGATTAAATAAACAGCCTTAAAAGGCATAGGCAAAAGCATAATTCTGAGACATTCCAAAGTTTGGTCTACCGTTTGAACTGAGAGATCGTATAATTATTTTCTGTATATAATAGCAAAATCTCCAAGTTGTGTTATAAAATTTCTTCCTTTTATAAAATTATGAAGAAGAAAATAGCTTTTAGTTAAGAAAATGTGATTTTTTTGGCTATCTTCACCCCTACTTTTTAATTCTTATAAAACATAGGGTAAGATATATTAACATAAGGGATGTATGAGAAACTAAAACTTCATATTTAATTTTGTAATCTGATTTGTATAAATTATACCTTTATGCTACTTTATGGAAATGAAGGTGTTACTATGAAAATTTAAATAAGTTTGTATTTCTACTGAAATGAAATTGGTCAGTAAAAACCTTCAAATATCAATGCATTTAATCACAGCTATACCAGAGCATTTTGAAGGTGAGTTGACCTTTTAAATATTTTGAACTATTTCTGGATCATTTTGTATATTTCCACTGCTGTTTAACCCAGCTCCCAGTTTCACTGATGACAAATGCATTATCTACTTTCAATAATTGCTTTCATTCTCATAAAAAGTATGATACTGCACTGTCATAAGGCTGATTAATATGGCAAACATAGTGCTATTCAAAAATATATTTCTAGTTTATGTACGTGTGCAACACGATTCTTACCCAAAACTTATCAGTCAAATTCTTTATTGAATATCTCTAGTATCAAATAAGCCAAAGCTACAAACACCTTGTGTTTGGTCAGATTTTAATTAAGACTTTATCGATTCAGAACCCTATTCATTGGAAGCTAAGAAGGAATACTTGAATACAGATGTATTATACAGGGAGTAGGCTTCATGCTGAAAGTTACATGAATGGGTTCCAAGTTGAGAGATGTTCTGAAAGAGGCTAAGAAGGGAAGAGTGAAGGGCCATTTATGTCAAAAGAAAAGAAGTAAAGCGAACAAGAAGACAACGTCATCGGTTAACAGCACTAAGTAGAGAAGCTAAGTTAATAGAATTTTATTATGGAGGACTGGATCAGAATTAAAGTCATTAACTAAACAAGATAAATCTTTGTGAATGTTATAAGCTTCAGGAAAATCCAATTCACCAACTCAAGAAGCTTTTTGTATAATTTTACAGATCCAAACTGAAAACTGTGATTAAATTTTCAGTTATGATTAGCTATAGAAGATTTGTTAATATATTCTTTTCGTTCATATTCACGTTCCTTGATGTGAAACTTCAACGCTCTTTTATTTTTGCCGATGTATCTCAGACCACACTGGCAAGATATGCCATAAATTCCTTAAAAGACAGAAATGAAATCTTTAAGAAAATGAAAAAAATGAGTTCAAAATTGTACTTCTGGAAAATCCGGGCAATTTTATAATTTATAGAAGGATGAAATGGAAGAAAGAAAAGGTTATTAATGCTATTTCTATGCAGTGGACTGTCTTTTATGATGGCAAAATGAAAATCTATTAAAGGCTTTATCAGTGACCATGGAAGAAATTCCTCTGTCGATGGCAAATGATATCAAATAATTGAGTTCATAAGCAAGCAGAGATTTAGAGAAACAAACTCTTAAGAGTGTGAAATACATAAAAGTAAAAAGAAGCCATTTTTTGCTTAGCCTGGTAACATGATTCAGCATGGTGAGATAAATGAACAGGAAAGTGTTTATGGTAAACTGTATTCCCGAAACCTAGTTTCAAGACATTTTAGTGCTTGCTCAACTGGAACATTATAAAATAGTGATTTAAATCAAATGAAGCCATAATTGAGTGCAAGGGAAAAATATCTTGAAGTTTATCGACGACTTCCGTAGCATGGTTAGCAAATCACATATGTGATTTATTAAAGTGAATTGGAAGTATATGAAAAAATTTAACAGCTGTTTTAAATTTCATGAGGTCATAAGTTGAGGGATTGAACAATATGGGCCTTTATTTATTAGTTTCGTGATTCCATCAATGTATGTATGTTTGTCCATAATAACAATCTATCCGCCCTTATCAACTTTGGGAATAATAATATTAGGGTTAGAATGAATTTCACATAGGCGTTCTCTTCCCTTTAAACAAATGATTTGTAATTAAAATTCATGTTATATGTAATTAAGTGGCCCACCAGCGGCCAAGCGGTATGCCGCGAAAGGGCTGGCTGCATGGACGTTTTCGTGGTATTCCTTATGTGTAACACATCAATACGAGCCTGTTTCCATTAGAAAGTCCTCCACAAAGGCATCCCTCCCTTCCGTGAAATGTCTTAGAGCGGAACACGTGAATAATAATAATAATGAGTAATTAAGTGGCGGATTGTATCTTTCTCTATTTCTGAAATTTTGGAGAATTTAAAAGCTTTTTCAACAGGAGCAATGATTTGAGGAACTGAAGTTTCACATGTCTTTGAAATGTTGAAGTTATACTTTAATACTTTCCTCTGATCCTCTGAAAGATTAATGTTAGAGATATTAACAATGGGATTAGTATTTACAGTGGGAAGATTAACAAGATGGGTGAGACTTGTCGACTGGGCTGTGAGCTTTTGGAATTTAAAAGCAAAGATATTTTTAAGCTGTTGACAAGTGATTTCGTTTCTAGACCAAGATTTATGGAGAGTAGGATCATCGCGCATTAGTTGCGGACATCTTTGGGTATGCAGGCGACAATTTATCTTATCTGTGTGAACCAAATGCCCTTTCGTACTAATTAATCGATGCTTTAAAACTTTCTATTTGGAAATTTTGCTCTATCTCTTTTCATTTTCAATTTGCAATGCCTGTCTTCCAAATTTTGCCACTTGGGGCGCTGCTGTCGTTTGCATTAGGTTGGGCGCAGTCTCTTGCAATACTGTTACCTCACCTGCATAGCTGTAACTGTGTCCATTCGCAAGAATTTTTAGGTTAAAGGGACTTTTCTATGCACCCTGTACATATACATACATTCACACACCTTACCCATCTTTTATTTTCACAATCGTTGGTCATAGACATATACTTTCAATTATGAAAGTATGTTAAATAACAAAAATATTCACTTTTCGTCAATTTCAAATTTAAAAAAAAAATAATGATAATTAATTTTCGACAAACAGCGAAATCTAACTTATATATGGAAAAGTTTTACGCTTGTTATGAACAAATAAAAATGCGAGATGTTTGACGACAAAAATTGACCGGATATTTGATTTAAAAAATTTGTAATTTTTTTTTTTTTTTTTTTACATTTTTAACTTACCTTGAGAGATGGGTTAATTAAGTTTGAATAATTCGCGAATTATTCTAGTGCAGCAAAAAATGTGTATCATTAATCGGTGCAAGGAAGTCATGTAATTTTTTAACATAGAAGTACTCCAAGATTACAATGCTAGATTTTTTATAAAACTTGTGCTACACTATTGAAACTGGAGGACAAAATCAGAGCCACCGTCACTAACGAGGTTTTAGCGCAGTGTGGAAGAATGGAGGGAGCCACCATTTCACAGATGAGATACTCAGTGACTGATAAATGTGATAAATGTAACATTGTGTGTAATGTGATAAATGTAACATGTTCATTTGACATAGAGAACAAATAAAGAGTAGTTGTTCGCTTATGGCCTCTCTTTATTAATAGGCTGTGGATTCTGTCGTACTCTGCAGAATGTCCTCAAATATTGTATTCGTTAAATTTCACTAATGTTTCATTGTTAAACAGACGTTAAAAAGTTTTGTTATGTAATCCCAGAATTGAGTATGGATTGATTTAGAATGCATGCTTTTGAATTGAACGTTCTCAGATAAAGTAAGATTCTCCATGGTTTTGTCATTGTAGCTTTAAGATTTTCAGCTTGTGGCATTTTTTATTTTAATGTGTGTTTATCTATATATTAAAATTACCCATAAGCTACTCTTTTATTTATTTTGTAGACAGGGATTTCTGTAATAACCAGAAAAGCATGGAAGACAAGATATAGAAATTTAAAAGCAAATACAATTATTTTCACTTCTCATGAATAAGTATTATAATAGGGTATAGTCAAAATATGGTTCAATATTTGTGAAACGTTTCCAGCTTCTAAAAACAAAGTTGAAACTTTTTTTCTTTCTTTCTTTTTAATTTTTTTAAAATCTCCAATTGTAACAATATATAAACACGTTGAGTTACAAGATACTGGACTGTACTTACAAAGCTAAAAGTCTAATTACTGTTGGAATAATCTTCTGTTATGAGAGTTCTGTTTTAATTGGTGTTCTTAGAGGTTCTGTCTAGACAAAACAAGGCTCCTCTTTAATTTCTGTAAGGCAAGTTATCATAAAAGTAGATGCATTTACAATTAGTTAGGGAAAAGTGACCACACAAATTGACCTTCAGAGCACCTTGACTTTCTGAAGAGACCAAATTTTGCCAATTTTTGAATGAGACTACTTCATTAAAAAATTCCGTTATTAATTTATTATAATAAGAAATATTTTGATTACATGAATTTCGATGTGCTGTTATTTTATTGCATAAAATTCTCCCTAGTGTTGAGGAAGATTTGAATATTAAACACATTTGTACAAGTTGTTATTAAAGCTTTGCATTAACTTTGCGAAGCTTTAAAAATTAGTTGACTAGTTATTATAATTACATACAGTTGAAACGTCCATAAACTTTAAAAATTTCACATTATTTGAACAACATCAATCATATATATATATATAATTTTCTTAAGTTACAACAAACAGCAAATAACGTCTTTTACTATGAATGTAAATTATGCTGATTTAGAATATAAATTATAAATTCAGCATATATATTTTTCCTTGTTGCAGTTCTGTTACAAGGCATAATATATATCACTAATTCTTTACACTTAAAAATTTGCACATGCATGCACGAGAAAAGGAAAGTTTCCATCAGTCTTCGTTTATAATGCAAAGAGAACTGAAGCTCTGAATGGACTCTGACTTTAGCTGTGCATTATTTTAGTTATGAAAGAAACACCGATAAAAGACATGAAAACATATAAATTTATAGTGCACATCACACACATACAAGAAGGAAATATTGTTTAGCTCTTCCAGATAATTGTTTTGTTATTTTAGCAAGCATTAATTTTTATAATGCTTTTCATCCGTTATTCTACGTGCTTCCTTTCTTCGGTTTTAAATTCAATTTCCTAGCTGCAATACATTCCCGATCATTGTTTAGATAAAGGTATGTGTACGATACATACAAAAATAAAGAAATTCTACTGTTCGAAGCTTTCAAAGATGACAGATTCGAAAAGTATTTCTTGCAGTAATGGAAATGTCATATGTAAGGTTACATAAAAATCTAATTTCTGTTAATTATCTAAATTTCCCGAGATTTTTGTTTCGGAGGGGAGGGTTAAGGAAATGTGTGTCATATATCTTTATGAATAAAATATATATATATATATATAAAACTTCTCGTTTATTTAATTTAAATTCCCATTTGCGAGCAAAGGCAAATAATGCCAGTTCAAATTAACAGTTCAGTACTTTTGGTCAGTCAAGAGTAAGGAACTAATTCTAAATTAGAATCCAACTTAGGTTCTGTGCTAATGTAATATTTTTTATCTCACTTTTGAAAAGAAGGCCGTTATGCAATTTATCGGAAAAATAAAATTATCGCTTTACTTTCTGTTCCATTCAATATTTTACAATGCACACTGTTTTAAAATATTGATGTTTAATGCATTATTAAGACTATAAAGGACACATTAAATTATCTGAATTCTTGTAATGTTTTAATATGAAACATAATACTTTCATGGTCCTTTGTTTCTTCTGCTAATGTTTTCCTAGTCTGGGTGTTTTACCTGGAAGAGCAATTTTAACATTTTTAAATCTTATTTGAAAACTTGCTAAATGAAAAGTCCCTAGTAATGTGCTGTCCAAGCACATAAGACCTACGAATAGGTCATCAATGAACACAAGAAGGTGTCCATAGATTTTGCATGAAAATGAATTGCATCATTTACAAATAAATATCTTGAAAATGAAGTGTCAGTCGTTGCAAAGAGGCTTAAAGGGAATATATATTCCCTCTTTGAATTAAATTTCAGTTCTTAAAGTTGAGGAAAGCACGGCAATTGAACTCCTAATTTCAGAGAAATGGCATCTTATTTGTAGAAGTGTAAGTATTTATTAATCGTGCTTTCCTTCCACGAAGATATGCTGTGCACCATAACGTTTTACATAATTAAACGGCTGTCGATTTTGAAACGTATGTGCACGCAGAAGTAAGAATATCTTTCCTGATTTTTGAAATTACGGATTATCTTCTGGAGATGAAGATTGTGGATGTGGGACTGCTTTAACGTGCCGAATTGTTGGCTCATCGATATGTTGCGTGTATTTTGGACCATATAATCCCGTTGATGGATGTAATCTCATTTTTTCCGGATCTGATGTTCCATCACTTTTCATCAAAAAGAACATTCCGAAATTTAATTGAGGTATGTCGTAAAGTACCGCCAGGAAGAGCATCATAAATGTCAAACCTACTAGTAGATAACCTGAAAAGATACATAATATTAGTTTAACGAAAACAGTTGCAATACATATACAAAATTAAAGCTAGGGCATATGTGAATTGCAACCGTTGTTCTGTAAACTTTTATATTGGTAAATAGACATTAGCGTTGGCTGTACAGTACATGAAAGTTACTTTAAGTATTTAAACTATGAAGTATTTGAATACACAACATCATTTTGAGTTTATACGTACAACTTAGTGATAAACTGTGAAAACAAAAAATGCACGTGTAGAGCAATGCTTCCTTTTCACTTAAGAAAAAAAGGAGATTCCATGCATTTATTTGGATGGTGTGAGGCTGCTTTCTAAAGGTGTGTTACGTATGGTTCATTAAATATAGCAAATCATATCTGGTGTAGCAGTTGTAAATACACACTCTAAGTTACCAAACGTGTGAATGACTAAATATGACGGCGTTTTCGTGGTTTTCCCCGTGAGCCAGTTTCTCTTATCAAATCCTTCACGAAACCATCCCTCACTTTAGACAAATAGCCTTAACATATTTTACCCGAATCAAATAATCAAATCAGACTAAATATGAATAATAATAGTACGAGTAAATATGACAATCATATGTCTAAAACATGTTAACAGAGAATTACCATGAAATATATTGTGCTCAAGTAGCTTTTAAACCATTGAAAATAGGTCTACGATTCATTGAACATTTTGTTAATAACTATCCAACAGAACTTTTATTTATGTGTTATTTAAAAATAACGTGAGATTATATATAAAAGCCTTCAGGGAATTCGGTAACCATTTTCCTAGGACAACCACCTCTTATGTGATCAGTTTTTCTGAGAAAATAATCTAAAAAGAACAATTAATTTACTATCTGAAAACTTCAAATTACAGTCTAATGCCGAAAAAAAAAGAGGTTTTCCCCCCCCCTTAGTTTCAAAAATTAAAAATATAAACAAAAATCATAAAAATACTTCGGTTCTCTTCTAAAATAAAAATCAAACTTAAATTTGTCAGCTCATCATACTAAACATTTGCTGTTGTTGAATAAATCTGAAACTCAATACAAAAAGAATCTCAGCTTTAGAAGTGCTAATGTTCACTTTTGACTGGTTGTAAAATACTATAAGGAGAAATTAAAATGTTGAAAGAATGCATGAAACCTCGGTTCGGGAATACAATTCGTTCCTGAAGGCCGTTCGTCATCGGAAATGTTCGTAAATCAAAACTATTTTCCCGTAGGAATTAATGTTAATTAGATTAATCCGTTCCTAAACAACAAGTGATTCCTCATTTAAACTTTTACAGCAATACTTTGTGCATAAGTTCATAAAACAAAACCAAAGACATCATTAAATTGAAAAGAAAAAATAAAGGAAAGGCTAACTGAATTTTGTGGTACTTTTACAGAGAGCAGTAGAAGATGGCAAAGAAGGGAAAGGGAAGAGATGTGTTTGGAATCGGGATTTCTCCTTCTTATAAAGTATCAAGTAGCTGTCTTTCTAACGCATCTTCTTTTATCTTTTCTCTTGTCTGTTAGAGTCATCGACTCTGCTTGAGACTCCCTGAGCCTCCATTTCAGTTAAAATTTTATGCAACGTGATTTGTCATTGCTTACGTCTTAAAATTTTTTTAAAGTGAAACATGGCATTGTCACAACTTTTATGCTTTATCTGGATGATAAACACTGCATGAAAACTTTAACCCACTTTGCTCAAATTTTTCGGACCAAAGAAATGGGATTAACTTTTCTTCTTTTTCTGAAGACATTTTCCCCCATCATCATCTTTTGTTCTGCTGCTTCTAAAATTTTTCGAATTCGCGCAAATTTAAAAGGTTTTAGATTTTAAATTTCGTAAATATTTAAAAAATTTTGTACGTATTTAAAAGGTTGCAATTATTAAAATATGCAGTTTTAGAAAGTATAAGTTTTTATGCTACAAATATAAAATACGCGATTATGTATTTCAAACATCTGTCTCCTTCCCTACCCCCCGGTTGAAAGAAAATGTAAGAGAGAAAACAACTTAATTTTTATTGATTAATCAAAAAACAAAAAGAAATGTTTCCCTGAGAAATTCCTCCACGAAGACATCTCTCCCTGCCGTGAAGTGTGTTCGGGCGGAACACGTAAATAATAATAATAATGAGTAATTACGTGGCGGATTGTATCTTTCTGTGTTTCTGAAATTTTAGAGAATTTAAAAGCTTTTTCATCAGGAGCAGTAATTTGAGGAACTGAAGTTTCATATGTCTTTGAAAAGTTGAAGTTATACTTTAATACTTTCATCTGATCCTCTGAAAGATTAACTTTAGAGATATTAACAATGGGATTAGTATTTACAATGGGAAGATTGACAGGATGGGTGAGACTTGTCGACTGGGCTGTGAGCTTTTGGAATTTAAAAGCAAAGATATTTTTAAGCTGTTGACAAGTGATTTCGTTTCTAGACCAAGATTTATGGAGAGTAGGATCATCGCGCATTAGTTGCGGACATCTTTGGGTATGCAGGCGACAATTTATCTTATCTGTGTGAACCAAATGCCCTTTCGTTAGGTTCGTTAGACATGTCGACTAGGCTGTGAGCTTTTCGAATTTAAAAGCAAAGGTATTTTTATGGCGTTGACAAGCGATTTCGGTTCTAGACCAAGATTTATGTTGAAAAGAGGAAAATTTTAAAGAACTAGCAATTTTTCAAATGAAGGTAATATCATTTATATTAAATTTTAGACAAACGTTTACGCATGTTTCTTGTAATGTGACGAAGGCTTGGCAATTTGTTTTTATGTAAAATTTTAGAAGATTTGAAATTAATTTGAGTTGCATAAATGTAGGAATGATATTCTGATGTTTGCATTTAAGCAAAAAAAAAAAAAAAAAAATGGAGATGTTTGAAGAATTTCATGTGCTTAAGGCCTAACTTAAAAATCGGTTCTGGTCTGTTGACATATTAAACCGAATGGGAAACAAGCACAAAAAAAAGTATTCTTCACGAAAATTATAAAATAGGGAAAAAGCGAAACGGTTAAAATAATGTAATATAACATACGAAAATTTGTAATGATGATAAGAAAAACGTTAAAATTAAAAAAACGATTGTATATTTGCAATTTTCTGTTATTCAAATAGTATTTATAATTTAACAGTTAGTAAATTAAGTAAATTAATTGTTGTATGAGGATAACGAATTCATTATTTTAATTTAGAAATACTTTTTATAAGAATGTGTCTCGGTTATATTTCAGTCTTTTGTTCTATGAGCATTTAAGAACATTTCTTTATTATACCATTTAACGCTATTCATGGCGCATGTAGCAAACTGACTTCGTATTATAGAAAAGTAAGTAAAATAGCTAATATAATAAAATAGCATTTTATCTTTGATGGTATAAAATAATTCGCTGTTCAGGGGGGACTGTTGATTAATAAATCTTCCAATAATGATTATACTGGCTCTCTTTTAAACAGATCATTTTAAAAGTTAATCGGAACACCTCTTATCTACATTTGCGTGTATTATATCAATTTATATTTATCATAGCAATTATTTTTATAATTCATATATTTTACCGTTTGGTTTAAGAAACAATTTACCTTTGACCTCTGAAGCATAAGAAGGAAAAAGAATTTACCTGAAATCTTTTACTTTATAGTTAATATTTAAAATGTTGAGTTCCTCACTCTTTTTGTACTAAAATTAACGTTGAGAAACCTAGTGAACTTGTTAGCTACTTATCGCTGAGCTCAAACAAATAAAGACGTAGACTCAAGAAGGGTTAACTACCCTTTTTTCACTCCACATAAGATGAACAGTTGGCGCCATTCTCAGGCTTACAACAAAGCCTTCACTCAGGCTTGAACTCAAAATAAGAACTAACTAAGAGACTTAGTCGAAGCTAACACAATTATCTAACGTAGTTGGCCCTGAATTTAAACTAGCCGGTGAATATCAAAAGGCACGTAAATACGGCCGAGCTTAACAGCTTCAAGAGAGTATGAGCCCGAAGGAAAACACGTGCTACTCGGAATTTCTAGCTTTCTCTGGCGAAGTAAGTTAAACATTCCTTAAATTAACGTTACTTCTAACTCATTTGCATTCAAAGCGAAGTTAAAAACTCATTCTGGTAGGTAGTTGTAAGTGGAAACAAGAATCGACAGGAAAATACATTGAAACTAAAATAACTGTTATAAAATTCAAATTTATCTTACAAAGAAATCATCAGTTTTTTTTAAAAAAATATATCTGTATATGAAAAGACATCTATTAGAATTTTGCTATGAAACTTGTAATGATCATACCTATATGCTTTTAATTTTGTTGCAGTTTCTTTCTTTCGTTCTTAAGAAAACGTGTGTTGCATGTATACGAATTCAGTGCCATTTAAATCTAGAAGTATAGGGTGACGAAGATGTTTATTAGCATTTACAATTACCTAGAAATTGGTATCCTTTATATAACTGTTGAGTTATACTAAGTTTTATTACCAATATTCAGCTAATTTGTATAACTATAACTGAACTGAAAGTAAGCCAAATATCTAATCTTGAATTTATAGATCATCTATCAGCTAACTTAAAATTCCTTTCGAAAGCTCTTCGCCTTCTTGTGAGGTATTTTTTAGAAGGAAAGTTCGTGAAGAAATTTATTGCTCAAACTAATGATTATTACAATGCAGTTCCTCATGACTATTATAATGCCGAAGCCTTTTTAGTTCCCGGAGCTTTAATCAGAATTTCTATATATCTTTTCAGAGCAAACATATTCACTATTGAGAATCATCACAATTGAACTTAGCAATATTTTAGATTCAATTTCGAATACCGAAAACTAAACACAAAGGAGAACGTGCCTGAATCATTACAAGAAAAACACCGTTGTCTTCAACACACAAAGTGCACATTGCCCAAATTTGTCGTCTGTCTGCAGTCCAGTTAAAGAAGACCTTTACAATAGACGCCGTTTAACGTGATCGTGATTAATGATACCATTCAGACACTGTTACCGAATTACCGAAGTCCCTCCCCTGTATATAAAATAAAACATGGGATAAACATGTAACATAAATAAAACATGTATATATAAAAACATGGGAAATACATCGATGATTTCTTTAATATGATTAAAATATTAAAGAAAAAAAAAAAAATCTGAAAGGTTTCAGATTTTAAATTACGTCCAAAGGGGCTTTTCTTTTAACGTTTTGTGTGTTACCTTTATTTATTAAATATCATGTTCTTTGGACTTAAACCATAAAACAGTGGTGTAGCGAGGGGGAGGGGGCAAGGGGGTGTAAGATGCCCCGGGCGCCGCTTGCTGAGGGGTGCCAAATGGTCTCCAAACAAGATTTTCATCATATCACTGTGTTTTTTCTGGGGGGGGTGCGCCCAAAAGGTATTTTGCCCCGGGCGCCAGTTATGCTTGCTACTCCACTGGCATAAAATTCAGTTCAACAGCAATGTCGCAAAATAATTTTAAAATAAGCGCGCTGGAGATAAAAAGGTTTCCCCCCCCCACCCGTAGAGTGTTGTCATTGCTCGCTTTTAAATCGTTCAGTTTGTTAATCAAAAATTCGTTAAAGTTTTACAAAATATGAAATCGGATGATAAAACAAATTCCAAATTTCAAATTTGGGCTTTCAGATGCCCATATTCGCAGTGGGATTACGTCATTCAAAATTGGATGGCTCCAGGTACCGTTGTTATATCACAATGCGAAAAACATACATACATTTATGCAGATTCTTCATTATTTAACTTCTTCAAATATAATACAGGGCGATAGTATTTGGTGGCAACGATTTGAAAAGTGATACGCCGTTTATATGGTTCCGACGCAAAATCGCAAAACGAAAACAATAGTCCTACAGGGACAAAGCCCCTTTGGACTAATAAATTTTTTAAACTGAAGTAAAGTCGCCAGATAAGTTCAAAATTGATTATAAAAATTATTAAGTGACTGAAAATGTTGCCAACTAAGGGAGATTAAGCCGCCAGAAAACTTGGTTTCTATTTTAGTCGATCATTTGAAATTAGGCGGGGGGGAGACACCTTAGTTTGGCGTAGATTTTCAGTAACTCTATCGATTTTGAGGGAGATTCGGCACAAGCCCCTCTTCTTTGGAAGCAAAAAAAAAAAAAAAAAGAAAGAAAGAAAGAAAATCCGCCATTCTCTTTAGTTTGCTTTTTTGTCTAATTTAACATTTTACATTGGCAAGTTTTCTTCCATTGAGGGTTTCCATCCAAATACACTCATGCCCATAAATTAAGGATAATTCGAAGCCACGCGGAAATCGAACTCTAAAATAAATGTATCATCTGTAAAATCATTACACACATCTTCAAGAATCATATGCAAATTTCAGAAAGTAACCAGATGACACCGATGGTACGTCACAATGACGAGAGTGATATATAAGGAATACAGGCAAAGAAGTAAAATTGTTCGCAGGCGCTTTATAAGCATTTCAGTGCAATAACCCAATAGTTATGACCACAAAGGATGCATTTGGATGATTTTTGAGTGGGTAGAATTATCGGCCGTCTGGAATGTGGACTACCCAACTGGAAGTATCAGACGAATTTGGAGTTGCCCAGAGTGTCATCTCCAGGCTTTGGCAACGATTCCAAGAGATGGTATGTGAGTAGACGTTACAGCACAGGTCGCCCCAGAGTTACAACGCCGAATGAGGCCGGTATTTGGCCGTTATGCCAAAGGAAAAAGGCGGAGCACAGCCTCAGACCTGTCTCGTCAGCTCTGTTTAGCCATGGTATGACAATTTCAAGGCAGACCGTGTACAGACGCTTAGGGCAGATTGGTCTATATGACTCGTAGACCTGTCAGGCGTTCACTTTCTGCAACTCACTGTCGCCCTGCGGTTAGCCTGGAGAGAGAGAATGGCATAGTGGACACCGCAAAGTGGGATTGTGTGTGTTTTCCGACGAGTCCCAGGTTAGCTTGCAAGTCTGATTCTCGCCTGACTTTCATATGGAGAACTCCAGGTACCCGTTACCACCAAGAAACCATCATTGAACGACACCGTTATGTGGTGCAGGAGTGCTCGTTTGGGGTGGAATTATTCTGGGTTCCAGAACTTACCTGCATGTTCAAATTGGAACCATGACAAGCCAAATCTATCGGGACGTCATTCTGGAACAACATGTACGTTTGTTTCGGGGCGCCATGGGCGCACAATTTGTGTTTATGGATGACAACGCCCGTCCTCACCGTGCAAACATCGTAAGCGAATGTCTTCAATCGGAGGGTATCACCCGTATGGACTGGCCAGCATTCTCACCGGACTTAAATCCAGTACAGCACGTGTGAGACATGCTTGGCCGACGAGTTGCAGCCCGTCAACCTCCTCCTACATTCTACCGGAACTTTGGAGAGCATTGCTTTTTGAATGGTGTAATATAACCCAAGATCAGATCAATAATTTGATACTGAGCATGCTTAGGCGTCGTACGGACTGTATTGCATCGTCTGGGAGACATACAATGTATTAACAATCATACCAACCATGTAATATTGTTTTTTTTGTAAATAGGTGTTTTTGTAATTTGCTCCAGGGAGAAAAAATCGCTAATTCTTTAATAATATCAAACATATAGCTTTTTTTTTTTTTTTTTCTTTACCTTTTGTTTAAGTCAAATTTGTTTTGCTTCTAACTCTTCCTTTGCCTGATTTTGCATTATCCTTAATTTATGGACATGAGTGCATTAAGATTGGGTGTACTGCATAGGTCAAATAATTTCTAGAAACGTAATGAACAGTTCATTAAATTAATTTTTCCGTTAAAGACATTGTGAACAGTTCATAAGCAAACTTTTTCATTTTCCCAATTAAAATGCTGTTGAATCACTTATATATTCTAGTTATATTTAAAATATAAAATTCGTTGAAATCATTTGCTATTTTGAAGGATACTTTTTCTCGTCTTTTAATGCTATCATTCATTTAATTCAGTTAAGGAAATAGTCGTGGACAATGCATTATGCAACGTTCACTGTAATTTGAAACGAGTGAAATGGTATAGGACGATGGTCCGAAGATAGATTAGGTTTATTATGCTTCCTGGATGCCTTTTAATTTGATTATATCTACGCTGAAAGGGTGTGCTATTTGAGTCTCAGATTAATATTAATCACATATGCCTACTTCTGTTTCTACGCATAACGTAAATAAGTAATGATACACAAATTATAAATGAAATGCACCCACACATATTTATGTAGCTATAAATGCTTAATAAATGTTTAAATGTAAGAAATGATTTCATTCTCCGAGAATGAATGAATGTTTCCGCTATTTAATAAGTAACGTAAAATTGGCGCAATTACACTGTTTACAAATAGATGAAATATACTATATACACATGTAATTGTGTGCAAATAAATATTTCTTAAATAATGAAAATATGTATAAAACATGATTTCGCTCTCGGAGAATTGATGAAAAGTTAGCCATTTAAGATATACTGTAAGACTGACACCTATACAATATAGAAATAGATAAAAAAAAAAAAAGTCTTATATTACTGTATTCTTGCTTCAGAATCAAGATTATATTCTCTTTCTTTTAGAAACATTACATACCTGTAGTGCAAACTTTATAGAGTGGTCGATATTGCTGATGAAGGTTATCTCCTGGTATTAAATCGCCTAAACCTGTTGTTGTGAGAGAGATGAAACAGTAATAAATTGCATCTAAGTAGTTCCAGTCTTGCTCTATGTATGAGAAGATTCCAGCAGGGATAAGGAAGAAAAATGAAAAAACAACGAGCTAGAAAGAATAAAAAGAAATGCTATAAGATTTTAATTCATCTACAATACCGTACATTTACTCAGCGAATTCGGTAATGTGTTACTTAGGACTAAGCTAACCTGAAAGCATTGTGTACAGTACAACACTTGGCTGTGTACATTTGCCAAGTAATATATTGTGTAAATAAAATTAATTTAAAAAAAATGCAGTAGCCAGGAGCCGTTTGAAAAACTTTCAATAAAAGAGAAATGTATAATTAGATCATTAAATTTATATTTGCTCATTTTTGTATAGTTTCTTAACTCTTTATTTTGAAGTTAGAAACCACCAATGAATTTATTTCAATCGACTCATTTAGCGGTTAATTTCGTTAAAGCAACCCTACAATTTTTTTTTTTTTTTTTTTTTTTTTTTTTTTTTTTTTTTTTTCCCCTTCTTGCGAGCTCAAATCCTATTCCTTGGAACATGATCTTGTTGTTCCAAATGGTTGGACCATGCATTTTTTAGGAATAGCCAAATCCATCTGTCTCATCATCATCCGAAAACGTCGTCCAGACTACACAAAAGAGAGCGACAGAATTACAGCCGGGGGAAAGAGGAAGCTCCGGAACCAGTTTTGACGAAAAACACCCCGGAAACAGATATGAGTGTCTTCTACAGCTCTTCCCCTATTATAAACTTTTCGAAAAGACGTCCAGCTGGACAGTATTTTAAGCTGTTATGAAATCATTCTAGAATTTAGCAAATTTTAACACTGTTCAAAGTTAATATTTAAAATGAAATAGTTAAAAACACTAACAGAAAAACACGTTACTAAGGAATTAGCAAGAATTTGAAAAAAAAAAAAAAAAAAAAAAAAAAACAGATAATTTTATTTTTTGATTGTTTATTTATTTTTATATAAGCAATCAGCTGTGAGTTCTTTGATTGCATCTACCATAAACAGCGTACTCATGTCAAATCCCAAGCATTGTCATCTCAATATATAAATTTTTATAGTGATGAAACACTTTTCATTTCCTCTTTGTTTCCAGTTTCCCCCTCCAAATGTTACATTATTAAATTAAACATCATATCACTTTAGTTTTCAAAATGATGCGCAGTGTTTAAAAACTCGGTGAAAGAAACGAGCACAGGAATAGTAAAATAAAAAGATTAAAAACGTAGGAAATCCTTTTTGGGACATAAGTATTCAATATTTGACATTCCTTAATGGCAATACGTTACGTATTGCTATTGGTTAGGTATTGTCGAATAATTATACTTCAGGTTATCATGCACATATTTTGGCCGAATTCAGATGTAAAGACATTGACGTCAACTGATTTTCTTCTTAGCAGAATCTTCACAATAGTAGATTGACCAAAAGAAAAGGGAAAAAAAAAACTCCCGTACAAGGCCGAACCAAATTTTGGTTCATTACTAAAATTTGGTCCGAATATCTTTCAAACTAATTTCTTTTCTGAATTTATATATATTCCAGAGCTTATACTATATTTATCATACTCCCTGAAAGTCTTTTAATTAATAGACATGTGTCTAGCATCCTCTGTGATTTACTAAGCATCCTGTATGGTCATGACAACGGAAGAGAATTTGGTTCATAAATAATATTACCAATTGAAGCACAGCGTAGAATCTCTAATTTCACAAAATAAGAGAGGCAAAGCAAAGCTAACACATCGTTATTAATTTTTCTATATGAAGAGGACTGTGCAATAAAAATTATAACCCCAGGTCAAACATTCAAGTAAGCGTTTTGTTGCGATGTTTTGAGGTGGCTAAAAGAAGATAGTCATCTCAAAACTTCTCAGAAATAAAAGGATCATAATTACCTGCTCACTAGGACAAGGCACTAAGATATATCGTCCTGAAGACGTAATGGTTTCTAGCGGAAACAATCCTTGCCGCCTCCTGTTTGCTGAATTGGCAACACTCTTCTGTTTCTTAGACTTAAGTTCAAATTGAAGAGTCTTTGTTTTTGATCCAGTTAAAGAGCATTCAAATCAAATCATAAACCGTGTAGGGAACTTAACTACGTAAACCTCTTTTGCTTTATGTACACCGTAAAGCGACTTATCACCTCGTCTTGGTCTTCCAGTGAAATAACACCGGACACAGAAGAAGGTTTAAAAGAAACCTTTCATTAATTCTTCAGTACAAAGAATTTACGCAGCTCGTGCAATAACAGAAGACGCCACAACTTAAACTGCTTGGACTAATAGAACACAAAAGTTAAAGTAAAACTTAAGTATTTAAAATAGGATGTTCACTGTGGTGAATATCCTGTTTTGCTGTGGTGAAGCTGTGGCTCAAGCCCTTAACTCACGTGAGGAAACACTACCAGGAGAGATTTAGCTAAGCGAAAAGTAAGAAAGAAGTAAATTTAGCTGGGTGAAAACAGCACTGAGCCGGTCAGCGATTGCTACTAAAAGCTCTTCCTCAACATCAAAAATTCCATTCTTATATACATGAGCTAATTTGCCTTTTGGTGGGATCCTACGATAATATAAGTGACAGTAAAAGTTAATAAGACAAATGGTTAACAAATGTAAACCTATACAACGAGCTAGATAAAATTCCGACTAAAAGCTTCCAGATTCAATTTGGTTGCAAGCGCTGTGACCTATGCATAAAAGCCGAAGAAGACTGCTTTGAAAGGGATGGAGAACAGATTTAATTTATGAAAGTTTTCAAAATTTGATTGGTCTTATCCGGTTTCTTTTTTTATCAACATTTAGTGTTACTTGTAATGAATGAAAAGAAACGTTGCCCGTAAACTCATAATGAATTAAAAGAAAGACCATGTAAATAGCATATTATGTCTCTAGAGACACAATACGGTATTTATATGCTGCACAACTGTAAGTTAAAAATTGTAGACGTGTGTGTACTCACCCCAATGCAGGTTAAGTGACCAATTCGAATGTGAAATGGTTGGTACAAATGGCCCAGTCTGGAATTCAGAAACTGAAGAAAAAGCGTTGTAGGAATAAGTAGCCTTTCTACATATGCCGTAAGTAGAATTAAAGTAAGTGGAATTCCAATGAGAGCATAAACGATACAAAAAATCTTGCCTCCTTCCGATAATGGAGCCACATGGCCGTAACCTAAAAGTAAAATGCATAATACATAAATGACATTTTCTCAATATAGCTAGATTAATAATTTCTCAATATAGCTAGATAAAAATAAAAGAAATAAAATAATGTTAGAATTTTCTCATATATTATATAACTTTTTTTTTTCTTTTATATTGCACCCGAAAGAATATAATATAAGAAAAATTATATTAAAAGCATATATAGTAGAACTTCCATTATTAACGGACATTTCAATTTAGCGAACATTCCCCATTAGTGAGCAGTTCATGACACCCCATGGAACCTTTAGTATCCGTTAAAGAGAAACGTTCAATTGTATATTAATTTGTCACATATTTTTACATTAAATTTTTTTCGAGATTTAATATTTAGTTTTCCTTAGCACATTCGATTATGTAACTTAAACAGTGTTGTATAAAAATCACTGAGATGAGAGGGCTTCAACAGTATTATGAGTTCTGTGACTTACTAGCTTTCAAAATATTATGTCTTAGTTGAAACGTCACATAATTCAAGTCAATAGCGATAGTAGTAAGTATAAATAGCGATAGTATAATAATACAGATAAAAAAGTAAAAGATTAAAACGTTGCTCTATGTGTGTGTGGGGGGGGCTGTATTGTTGAACAATCAAGCAGGACGAATTTCTAGAAGGGGGTAAGAACTATACAGGGTAAGGCTGGATTCTGACGAAATTTCTTCTGTCAGTTTCGTTTGTCTCTTTGTGTCGTCTTATGCGTTACGCTGCCAAGCCTAAAACAGGGCTTTCGTTGAAGAGGAAAATGACTAATTTTAGAACGGACACCTTGACAATAGATTAATCAGTGTAGATTTGCAAAGTTTACCAAAAAACCTTTTTGTGCTGAAAAGCATCATTTTGTGATAAAACATTAGCAAGAAATGCAGTACCGATAAAACGACACAACTTGTTTGCACCAATGTTTGCAGTAGAAACTACAATCAGTTTATGCATGATTTGTGTGCAATATTTTTGTATCGGACGGCATCCGATTTGAAAGTGAAAAATTCTATACTTAAAAAGAATTTAGGAAATTTATATGAAATGAGAAACTGCCCTTGCATCAGTGTAGATCCTGCTTACATTGGTGCAGTTAAGAATATCCGAAGAGCGGTTGGTGACAGCAATATTTTCATTTCCAATAGATGAAATAACTGATGCTGCGGGCAGATTGGTATGTAATATAATAATTGAGACAATGCATCCTAAACCATTGAAAAGTTTTCTGCTGACAGCAGATGTTATGAAACTCTTTTTGACTGATACAGCTTCATATATGAAAAAGGTAGGTAAGGCACAAATGTCTTGTTTAGCGAAATTTTGCGTTTGACATGCTGCACGGGATTTCAGAAACAGGTCGTGAATTGCTCCAGGATATTGAAAAACTTACTTCAAATGTAAAAAAACGAAAAAAAAAACTTTCTTAAATAACTTATACCGATGCCTCCAGGCCAGTTCTGAACATGTTCATGTCCAACTTGTTATTATTTTGAATATTTTGACAAAATCATGGAAGTCATCGGCTCTTTTGAGGAAGAGAATTTATGTTCCATTACAAGTACTCAAGAGTTATTCGGACAGGCATTCTGTAAAGAACAATCTTGCATTCATATTTTCACATTTCTCTCAGATGCCAGCATGAGTAGCTTCTTTGCAGGAACATAATCTGGAGCTGAAGTCTTCTATGCGTATGATATGATGTAAAACATGTCTAGTATTTCTGATGAAGAGAGTGTAGTTTTAAAGAAATATTGGGAGAAAGTCTTGTTAGTGAAAACCACAATTTTCAGATAATTAGCAGTATTTCTAAAGTTTTATACTGTCAAAGCATGGTTGATATTTGCTATGAGTCCCATGGTTGGATCACGTTTCAAATGTGCTCTTGCTACATCGATAGATACTGAATGATCATTGTCCTGTCTCAAACATATCTTCACGAGTAGATAACATAAGCTGTCGGTAGAAAATATAAAGAAAATACTTGTTACCTTTTGTAATCGAAAGTGAGCTTGGATATGGCAAAGCGCACAAGGACTATCTGCTTAAGGGGAGGGATGTTTTCGGGGACGATTTTCTAAGGGAAATTGGCTCTTATTCACGTTCCACATGGGAAAAGCACGAAGAACACCCATACAGTCAGCACTTTTTGCCTAGATTTGAACTTGAATCGAATTACATGTATTCAGCGGGCCTAACCATTCGGACCAATGACTAAGGCTGTTGGTCATTGGTCCACGGTTGGGTTACGGAGTACCTTTGATTAATTAAACAAGTACCTCCACATCATCATTAAGAAGGAATGAATTAAATCAGAGTAAGCAATGGCTAAATAAAACGAACATACGGGTTAATTAACCATTCGGTCATTGGAGGAACCAGAAGTGAACTATGTGTTGTATAGCAGAATTGCTTTCTCAGGGGCGAAAATAAGGAATACCTAATCTAAACCGCTTTTATTCTCGTTTGCCCTTATGTAGATTTTGTTTACGTTATTCATTAGCGTATTTTTCTGCGGAGTTTATTATTGAGTACTGAGAGTGATAGTTGCGCAGTAGAATTTGCGTGCCTAGAAGAACACTGGATCTAAGTGATATAAAATAAGGATTTAGTTAGTCTTTTCTAAGACTTAACAGGATAAAGCACACATCCCCCTCTCCTCTATTTTATGTAATCATTACATTTCTGTCGATAACTAAAAAAATTTTTTAAAATGACCAGCAATTCCTGTTCATATAGTATATATTTCTATGAACAACTCTAAGCAGTTAGAATTGAATTACTTTAGGTAAAAGTTTTGAGCGAAAAGTATAGTCTGTAAGAGGCTATAGATTCTGATAGATCTCTACTTAAAAATCAAACTGCTGGTGAATATATTCTAATAAAAACATAAAAAGAACACTTTTACTTAAATACAAATTAAACAGATACCGCGAATTTTCAGTTTATTATAAGGTTTTGTTTGTTTCACTCTTGGTGCTTGTCGCTATGGTCAGAAGTTTATAGTTTTTTTTAAACAAATCTCCCCCACCTTTTTTTTTTTTTTTTTTTTTTTCAAAATTTGATATGATTTTTGTTAAATATAATGTTGAGATAGTTTTTCGCTCATATTTTCGCTTAACGAACGAGCTAAAAAAATCTCAGGAATTTGGTTTGCGCCATCGAAGAGACGGGGGGGGGGACTCTTTAAAATGAAATTTGTATGAAACTTCTAAACATAATTGTTAATTTTTTGACAAATTTTTGGAAATCACTGGATTTTTTCGACTATTTGATGTCTATGATTTTAAATTTAAATTTATTTTATTATTTTTCAATATTTAAACATCGGTTACAAAATTTTAAATTCACAGATTATAAAAGAAACTCTTTGCCTTCTAATAAAATAAGAATGATAAAATAAAATATTAAATGGGCGATTTTCTACATTTTAAAAAAATTTGTTGCAGTCTGAAGCAGAAAGGGAGAAAAATCTGTTCCATGGCCATCGCTTGGAAACAAACTTCCATTGTTATGATGTCATTACTTCACATAGTTCTTTATTGCTTGTCTATAGATTTCTTTACATTTACTATCCATTTTATTTTATTAATCTAAAAAATAACAGAGTTTAAGGATTGATCAGTGTTTAAGCATTGATTAGTCATTGCAGTGAAATCTAAAACGCTGTTTTAGAATTTTTCAGTTTCTTAAAAGGTTATACAAAATTTTTCAGCATTTCATTTCAAAAGTAGATTTTTCTTCTGATCGGTAATATTATATTTTTTATGGGATTTTAAAATCCTAACGTCCAAAAATGTATCCGTTACAAAGATTTAAAATTTTCAAACGTTATAAAACAAACTTTGCCCATTCTTTTAAAGCAAGAATGATAAAACTATTAATTCGATGCATTTTTAGAATTTCTTAAAACTAGCCACGTTTCTATAAGCTTTTTTTTTTACTAGCTTATGGTGTTTGTCGCTATGGTCAAAATTGGTCACCGAATGTTTGACGTATTTCGTAATAAACTATCCAGCTCAAATTATGTACACACACTTACTGTGGGGGATAATTCAATCTAGTGCAGTAATATGTTTTTCAAAATTTTATTTAGACATTGTAATTTAATATTAAGAGATCTTTTGCACATTTTTTTATTTAACAAACATTCTAAAATTTTCAGAATTTTACTGTTTGCACCACGAGACAGAGCGAAAAAGTAATCTTTTGTATGAAGTTAGAATTAAATTTGTAATATCATTTCTGACTTTTTGGCAAATTTTTAGAAATCGCTGACCGTTTTCGACCATTTGACGCAATAGAACCATTGGAACTAAAATAGTAGTTTTTCATTATTGAAAAACAGTTTTACGGCCAACAAAGTGTCATTTCATCCTTTTAGGATGAAAATGAAATAAGGTAGAACGTTTTTGTAAAATCATATAAATTTGTAGGTGAATTTTGAAGAGAAAATTATTTAATCTCTCCTTCTTGTTGTTACTACATGATAAATAATTTTTCTCCGTTTAGTCCTCTAATTATTTTATGAATTTTAAATAAAAGCTTGTTTTATAAAATCTTTTACCCCTTATTGTATTTTTCTCGTTCTGTCAAGAAACAAATCTGATGTGTACACCACATGACTTCCTTGTACGGAATATTAAATTATACGCAGTTTTTTTATGCATTTCATTTGAAATTATTTCCTCGACTTTCATTAAAGATATATTTCTCATTCAATTACTTCAGTTCTCACTTCGCGGCAAGGCAAAAATACATAAAAACTCAAAATATCTTCATAAAAAACTGAAAGATATAGAAAAATATAAAACATCAAATACAGTTAAAACAATAATATAAAACATCAAATACAGTTTTGTGTTACAATTAAAATTACATTTTCTACGAAAAAACAAGCAATTCGGCTAGCAGGGAAGAAGGAAGACTTTTTGGTGCACAAAACTAAAAGTTTCGTTTTGGTCCCACTCGGCAAAAAGACACTGAAGGTGCAGAAAGACTGAATTGACTATTCTGCTAAGTTTCAAATGTAAACAAATATGGCTGCTATGGTTAAAAAAAAAAAAAAATAGGCTTAGCACGTTATGGGTATCCATAACCAGACGCACACATAGGAAATATTCATTATTTTCTAGTTGTAAATTCAAACTGTATTTCATTTAAGTACTTTGAATGTGAAAGCTTCTCTGATCTGAAGAACTTAGCCAAAATGATCTGCATTTTATTTCATATACTGGGGCAGATTGTTTGGATATTAAAAAACACAAGAGAGATGTATGTTTAAAACGAAGGATTCCTTCCAGCAGACTTCCCAAGGAAACCTGTCTCGTTTTTACATAACCCGTGGGGAAAACCCGAAAAAAAACCCTGAAGTTAGAGTGCTGTCCTGGATTCGAACTTAGGTAGGCTTACCAAAGCTCAGCGGCCACCAACAGGAAGAAAAAATCGAGGAGATTAGTACTAACACAAATTTTTATAATCGGTAAATTTCAATGTTAGTTTAGCGTTAATTTTAAACGAAAATGTTCACTACTATTTGATGTAAACGATTACTAATTATTCAAGCTGCTCTTTGAGAATCAGTATTCAACAAAGCGTTTTCTGAAGATTTTAAAGTTTGAATTCGAGCGAACGGGCTGGCTGCAGTGGGCGCCTTCGTGATTTTCCCCACGTGTAACATAATATGAGCCAGTTTTCTTTAAAAAAAATCCTTCGCGAAGTGAATGAGGGTTATATGCCGACTATGCCCTGGTTAACAAATAACTCTGATGTAGCTTAAAATTAAGCAATGTTTCAAACGAAAAATAACCGAATGATTTTTCTTCCTCCAAAAATATTACTCTTTTCAATCAATTCTTGTCTGAATCATGATCTTTAAAATTTATTGAGATGAAATTCTTTTTGAAAATTATATTTGTACATTTTCAAGCGTGATACAACTTTGTGTGTGTGTTCTTTAATTCCTATCAAGGTATACTAATAAGAATGTTAAAATAATTTTGAAAAAATATAAAAGTCTTACCTATCGTGGTAATGACCGTACTAGAGAAGAATATCGATTGACCAAAGCTCCAGTTCGGTTCCATGGTAACATTTCCAACAGCAGATACACCTCTGTTGTTTGCAGCAATTATTTCTTTAATGAAGTCCTCGAGAGCAGCATCTGAAAAAGTTTAAACACTAAGAAAGACGTGTAAAGCTAATGTTTAACATTCACATGATGCAAAATGTTTCATAAATTATTCTCTAGTGTAGTCCTTAATTAAAATGTTTCGATATGTAAAACTGAATTTCTCTAATTACTTTGAAAGAAATGTAGATATCCTGTGAGGATAAAATTATAAATTTTTGTCTTGGATATGTATAAAAAAATTTCCCCCTTTTTTTAACAAAGCTTAATGAGAAGGAGAGTTTTCTTGTATATACAGTAAGACCCCGCTTAACGCGGGGTATACGTTCCATCAAAGTAGAGCGTAATATGAAACAGCTTTAAACGAGTTTATCTCATCATGTAAATAATGGGATTAGGGGAAGATGGGGAGAAAATTGGTCAGGTATTTTACCATTAAATTTATTAATTATGTTTTTATAACAATAAAACAAAAATGTATTTCTTACAAATGTAGAAACATAATAAACGAATATACATATAAAAATAAATAAAATTCTAAATCAGTATGTTTACATTTCAAATCATTCAGTCTCTTTTGTATTTCCCATTTTCTGCCTTTTTATCAAGAAGGTATCTAATGTAATTTGCGTTTCCCTTTTGCGCTGTATCAGAAGTTGTTGGTAAGTGGATAAGGCATTCATAACACCCCATCTTACCTTTGAACTCCTGTCAAAATTTGGGTCATTTTCAATAAATTGGTCCATGATTTCTGTTATAGTGGTCAAACTGGTTTTTTTAGAAACGCTGTCGAAAGTTCTTTTTGCTCTTCTTCAGAAACACAACTTTCAATATTGTGTTCTTCTTGGCCCGCTATTTCCTTCCTCGCTCAAGGTCATCATTAGAAAGACATGCTGCTGTTTTCTTGCACTATTTCTTCGACATCTTCCACATTTACTTCATCTAAACCTATTTGTTTCGCTAATTCCACTATTTCATTCATATCGACAGAGTGTCCAGTGTCACCGCCCTTGCTTAGATCTAGCCAAATGTTCTTCCACACCCCTTTCAAACATTTTTCTGTTACCTCATTCCCAGAAAGATTTATGTTTTCTACAGCATTCATGATATTGTAGCTTTTCCAAAACTTTCTCGCGGCCGAGCGGTAAAGTCGCTGAACATTGGTAGTTCGGTCCGAAGTTCGAATCCCGCGAACGGGCTGGCTGCATGGGTGTTTTCGTGGTTTTCCCCATGTGTAACGTGTATACGAGCCAGTTTCCCTTAGAAAGTCCTCCACGAAGGCATCCCTCCCCTTAGGCAGATAGCCCTAGTGTGCTTTGCCATAATTAAATACACACCAACACCAAAACTATCTCATTGATTGTTTCTCTTCTCTGTCTATTTTTTCAAACATCTGTCTAAATATTCGTCACGGGTAATAAGCCTTAAAATTTGAAGATTTATGTTTTCTGCAGCATTCATGATATTGTAGTTCTTCCAAAACTTTCTCATTGATTGTTTCTCTTCTCTGTCTATTTTTTCAAACATCTGTCTAAATATTCGTCACAGGTAATAAGCCTTAAAATTTGAAGATTTATGTTTTCTGCAGCATTCATGATATTGTAGTTCTTCCAAAACTTTCTCATTGATTGTTTCTCTTCTCTGTCTATTTTTTCAAACATCTGTCTAAATATTCGTCACAGGTAATAAGCCTTAAAATTTGATATTAACGCCTTGATCCATTAGTTGGATTAAGGCAGTCGTGTTAGGCGGCATGAAAACCACTTCGACTGGAATTCATGTTATTAAGTCAGATGAATTCGTTGAGTGGCTTGGAGCATTATTAATTAAAAGTAGTGCTCTTGATTCAAGTTTTTTAATTTCGCAATAGCGTTTAACAGACGGGCAAAAATATTCAGTGAACCAATTCTGGAAAATGATCGTAGTTATCTATGATTTTTTATTAGACTCCAAAATTACAGGTAAAGTTGATTTGGATATTCCTTTCATCACTTTTGGGTTTTTCGAATGGTAAACATGTAGTAGTTTTAATTTGAAATCTCCGCTTGCATTACCACCCAGTAGAAGTGTTAAGCGATTTTTTGCAGCTTTAAATCCTGGTGCGCGTTTTTCTTCACGGGATAGAAATGTTCGTTTTGGCATTCTTTTCCAAAATAGACCTGTTTCATCAAAATTAAAAACCAATTCTGGAGGATAGTTTCCTCGCTCAATTATTGTTTTTAATGTCGCTGGGAATTCAGCCGCCGGTTTCGTATCACCACTTGCTGCTTCTCCTGTAATCTGTACGTTATGAAGATTATTTCGATGCTTAAATCTATTAAACCATCCTCGACTTGCAAGAAAGTTTCATTTGTATCACTTGCCTCAACCTGAATGTAATTAAAAAGTCTTCTTGCTTTTTCCATTATAATAGATTGGCTTAATGGCATATTGCGTTAAATTTCGTCGTCAATCTATATAGAAAGTCGTTTTTCCATTTCCTCTATTTTATTATTTCTAGAACGGATAATTCTAGTTGCAGAGCTTGTCGTAGTTGCATTTGCCGATGACAGTATTTTTTCTTTATTTTTAAGAATAGTCTTTATTGTTGAAGTTGCCAAATTCAATGCAGCACCAATTTGAGATTGACGTCCACCAGTATCTAGCCTTCTAAACACCTGCATTTTAGTTTCTAGTGAAATTCTTTTTCTTGTTGCTTTATTTTCGTTATTTTTATTATCATCCATGATAAAAACTAAAAATCATAATATTTGTCACTATATCAATAGTTATATAAATTTATACTCACAATAACTTCAAGCGGTAAAAAATACGTTCGTATAACACCGCAGGAAAGAAGAAACACAGATAAATGCTTCGGATATTGGAAAGCCTAACGCTGCTTGCAATTTCGGGGAATCCCACAATTCAAATAAAAGAGCGTTAAACCGAAACAGCGCTAAACGAAACAGCGTTAAGCGGGGTCTTACTGTATATCGCAAAAGCTTCCTTCCCACCCTATGTTAATAATATTATGCATTGGCTTGAATTCCTTCAGAAAATGCAGTTAATTGAGTATTTTAGGTGGCTTTTCCTGTCAATGTAGAACTATGGCTACATTTTTATGCGCGTTTCTTTAAAGAGCTTTGAATTTCAGTGAAGTCACTTCATTTCAAATGATGTTTGGCAAGACGAAGTTGGGCGAAACAACAGCTCATCAAGTGTCATTCTCAAGTACTTTTAAACTCAGTAGTTACGTCCATTAATCATGTTGCAGCCCCGCGCCATCACCCAACAATACAACATACATACGTTTATTGTATAATTTCCTGCTGGCATGTTGTGTATCTTTCATGCCAGATAAAACGATGCCTGACGTCTGGAATACCGGTTGAAGACTGAATTGACTCCATCGATGAACAAGATATTGGACCATTTTAATGCATCTGTTTCTGTGGATCTGCAGCAAAGCAAACACCTTCTACAGGATGGGCGAAAGGTCCTTATGTGAAAATTAATTGATTTTGCATAACTTACCTCCTATGGGTCCTAAGCTTCTATACAAGTTATTCCATGTTCGTAGAAGAGGGTTATTTGTCCTACATCCGATTGCTGTTCCGAAACAGCATATCACGAGTGAATATTGTACATTATTATAGCGTAGAGAGATATTTTGTCCACTCTGTTCGATGATCTTTGAATTACGCAAATCGATATGGAAGTCAAATATCGAGTAAGAGCTTGGCGGTATAGATTCTTATGCAACAGTACAGGCGGCTTGCAAGTTGGTTAGTCCAGTAGCATCGACTGCATTTAATTATCACAGATAATTTTCGGTTTTCTTTTACAGTCGTAGATACAATGAGACCTCCTGCAGTGCGTCTAGAACATATTTCAGTTACCTGGAACGCTGTCCAAACTTGTGGACAGCATTTTAAGGGATTCCGAAATCCAGTCTCTCAGATGACGCATTTCAGTAGTCGAAAATTTCACGTTTATATATTCATTCTTTCACGTTCAGAATTATTGACAAACGAACTTCGTTAGTGCTAATTTCCTTTTCATCTACTTTTGAATAACCACGTGTCCTCTAAATTGCAAGAATCAGAAACTTGCATATACTTGATTTTCAACTTTGTATATTTTAATTATTCAAATCAGAAAAAAATTCGGTAGACTCTGCGGTGATGACTTTGCTTAAAAATGTTCATAATTAACTTCTGGACACGGATGTACTTTTCCTCTTTTATTTATTTATTATTTATTTTGTCATAATCCTTTTTTTAAATACGAGTTACATATTTATGTATATTGAAACATATTTCAGAATAACTCCCTTTGATGTGTAAAACTTTTTATGTCATGGTCAACTTTATTTTTATTAGTATTAAATACTGCATTCTTTAGTAGCGACCAGAATATTTACGGATGTTCTACTCTTCTCGTTTACTCCAAGAAACCTACGATAAATGAAGAGAGAGATTGTAATAGCTAAAGAATAGATGTAAGGTTTTGGTTGCTTGCTAGCTAATGCTTTTTTCATGACAGTCTAGCGGGAAACTATTAGCAGCTATGAGAATAAAAATGTTTTCGGCTTCACAATAATAATAATAATATTAATACAATGCAGGTTTTTCACTTTTGGAAGGTATTTTGTAATTTTTTGTCAAGATGAATCTTGTGAATGTAATTTCTTTCACATTATAATTTTTTATCTTCATACATATTAAGCTCTTGCACGTGCCTTAAATTCTTTTTTATATTAAATGGTATGGAGAATACTAGAGTTTGCTTTATGCTTTTCATTTGCAAGAGAACTGTTATTTTTCAATTTCCCACATCATTTTTCTAACTTAATTGCAGAACTTAATGTAAAATAGGTAGATAAACAACCTTAAACTAGCGTATGTTTTAAGCTCTAGGTAGGACCTGAGCTAGTTCATTTGCCTAGTTTTATATTTTATCTTTACGTGTTTCTCTCTATAAATAATTCAGTGATAATATTGGTTCGTTTGACGACATTTATAAATTTGCAATTTTTATTTATTTACGCTAA